CAGTCTGTATGTGTCTCTAGGTCTGAAGTGGGTCTCTTGTAGACAGCAAATATATGGGTCTTGTTTTTGTATCCATTCAGCCAATCTGTGTCTTTTGGTGGGAGCATTTAGTCCATTTACATTTAAGGTAATTATCGATATGTGTGTTCCCATTCCCATTTTCTTAATTGTTTTGGGTTCGTTATTGTAGGTCTTTTCCTTCTTTTGTGTTTCTTGCCTAGAGAAGTTCCTTTAGCAGTTGTTGTAGAGCTGGTTTGGTGGTGCTGAACTCTCTCAGCTTTTGCTTGTCTGTAAAGGTTTTAATTTCTCCATCAAATCTGAATGAGATCCTTGCTGGGTAGAGTAATCTTGGTTGCAGGTTTTTCTCCTTCAACACTTTCAATATGTCCTGCCACTCCCTTCTGGCTTGCAGAGTTTCTGCTGAAAGATCAGCTGTTAACCTTATGGGGATTCCCTTGTGTGTTATTTGTTGTTTTTCCCTTGCTGCTTTTAATATGTTTTCTTTGTATTTAATTTTTGACAGTTTGATTAATATGTGTCTTGGCATATTTCTCCTTGGATTTATCCTGTATGGGACTCTCTGTGCTTCCTGGACTTGATTAACTATTTCCTTTCCCATATTAGGGAAGTTTTCAACTATAATCTCTTCAAATATTTTCTCAGTCCCTTTCTTTTTCTCTTCTTCTTCTGGAACCCCTATAATTCGAATGTTGGTGCGTTTAATGTTGTCCCAGAGGTCTCTGAGACTGTCCTCAGTTCTTTTCATTCTTTTTTCTTTATTCTGCTCTGCAGTAGTTATTTCCACTATTTTATCTTCCAGGTCACTTATCCGTTCTTCTGCCTCAGTTATTCTGCTATTGATCCCATCTAGAGTACTCCTAATTTCATTTATTGTGTTGTTCATCGTTGCTTGTTTCATCTTTAGTTCTTCTAGGCCCTTGTTAACTGATTCTTGCATTTTGTCCATTCTATTGTCCATTCTATCTCCAAGATTTCGGATCAACCTTACTATCATTATTTTGAATTCTTTTTCAGGTAGACTGCCTATTTCCTCTTCATTTGTCAGGTCTGGTGGGTTTTTATCTTGCTCCTTCATCTGCTGTGTGTTTTTCTGTCTTTTCATTTTGCTTATCTTACTGTGTTTGGGGTCTCCTTTTTTGCAGGCTGAAGGTTCGTAGTTCCTGTTGTTTTTTGTGTCTGTCCCCAGTGGCTAAGGTTGGTTCAGTGGGTTGTGTAGGCTTCCTGGTGGAGGGTACTAGTGCCTGTGTTCTGGTGGATGAGGCTGGATCTTGTCTTTCTGGTGGGCAGGTCCACGTCTGGTGGTGTGTTTTGGGGTGTCTGTAGACTTATTATGATTTTGGGCAGCCTCTCTGCTAATGGGTGGGGTTGTGTTCCTGTCTTGCTAGTTGTTTGGCATAGGATGTCCAGCACTGTAGCTTGCTGGTCGTTGAGTGAAGCTGGGTGCTGGCGTTGAGATGGAGATCTCTCAGAGATTTTTGCTGTTTGATATTATGTGCAGCTGGGAGGCCTCTTGTGGACCAGTGTCCTGAAGTTGGCTCTCCCACCTCAGAGGCACAGCACTGACTCCTGGCTGCAGCACCAAGAGCCTTTCATCCACAGGGGTCCTTAATTTGGGATGATTCGTTGTCTGTTCAGGCATTCCACAGATGCAGGGTATATCAAGTTGATTGTGGAGCTTTAATCCGCTGCTTCTGAGGCTGCTGGGAGAGAGTTCCCTTTCTCTTCTTTGTTCTCACAGTTCCCAGGGGCTCAGCTTTGGATTTGGCCCCGCCTGTGCGTGTAGGTCGCAGGAGGGCGTCTGTTCTTTGCTCAGACAGGACGGGGTTAAAGGAGCCGCTGATTCGGAGGCTCTGGCTCACTCAGGCCGGGGGGTAGGGAGGGTCACGGAGTGCGGGGCGGGCCTGCGGCGGCAGAGGCCGGCGTGACGTTGCAGCCTGAGGCGCGCCGTGCGTTCTCCCGGGGGAGTTGTCCCTGGATCCCGGGACCCTGGCAGTGGCGGGCTGCACAGGCTCTCCGGAAGGGCGTGTGGCTAGTGACCTGTGTTCGCACACAGGCCTCCTGGTGGCGGCAGCAGCGGCCTTAGCGTCTCATGTCTGTCTCTGGGCTCCGCACTTTTAGCCGCGGCTCGCGCCCGTCCCTGGAGCTCCTCAAGCAGCGTTCTTAATCCCCTCTCCTCGTGCACCAGGAAACAAAGAGGGACGTAAAAGTCTCTTGCCTCTTCGGCAGGTCCAGACTTTTCCCCGGACTCTCTCCCGGCTAGCCGCGGCGCACCAACGCCCTGCAGGCTGTGCTCACGCAGCCAACCTCAGTCCTCTCCCGGCGCTCCGACAAAAGCCGGAGCCCCAGCTCCCAGTCCCGCCCGCCCCGGCGGTCGAGCAGACAAGCCCCTCGGCTGGTGAGTTCCCGTCGGCCCGATCCTCTGCGCTGGAATCTGTCCGCTTTGCCCTCCGCACCCCTGTTGCTGTGCTCTCCTCCGCGGCTCCCAAGCTCCCCCACTCCGCCTCCCGAAGTCTCCACCCGCGTAGGGGCTTCCTAGTGTGTGGACACTTTTCCTCCTTCACAGTTCTCTCCCGCTGGTGCAGGACCCGTCCCTATCCTTTTGTCTCTGTTTAGTTTTTTCTTTTGCCCTAACCAGGTACGTGGGGGGTTCCTTGCCTTTTGGGAGGTCTGAGGTCTTCTGCCAGCGTTCAGTAGGTGCTCCGTAGGAGTTGTTCCACGCGTAGATCTACTTCAACTAAGTATTATGGCTGATTCATCAGTTGTTCAAAAGTAATACAAAGGAATGAGTAAATCCTGGGAAAGTATCCCAGAGCTGGCTAATAACTTCTCCCTTCCCAAGGTGGGTGTTCTTGCTGCTTTCTCTTATCATGATATACTCCCTAACTGTAGAGTTTAGAATCCATTTTTTCTCTCGAATTTTGGTCCTCTGGCCTTTCACCACTTCCATGACATCTGTGCAAGTCCTTTCTTGTTATATGGCCCATATCAGCTTCTGTGTTTTAGGTCTTTCTAAAGGCTTTCTCCTTTAACGCTGACAATGTGATATGGATGATCTTATTCTTGTCACCCTAGGCAAACCCAGAAGCCAGCAAAAATGGTCTATGGGTATAAAAAACCTAAATAACAAATGGTGTGGTTAATAAATTACGTTTCTGTCAGCCTGATCTCAGTTTCCTTTTTTATTTCTTAAACAAAGCCTAGAGGCTTATGATCCCTAGTGTATCCACCGCCCTGACATTGCTTCTAAGTTTTAAAAACCGTGTTAAATACACAAACACAAAATTTACTATCCTCACTATTTTTGGGTGTACAGTTCAGTAGCGTTAAGTACATTTACAATGGTGTGCAATCAATATCCAGAACTCTTTTCATCTTGCAAAACTGAAACTCTGTACCCATTAAACAACTCACTTGCCCCTCTTTCTAGCCTCTAGCAATGATCATTCTACTTTCTGTCTCTTTGAATTTGACAACTCTAAGTACCTCATATTAGTGGAATCCTAGAGTATTTGTCTTCCTGTGACTGATTTATTTCACTTAGTATAATGTCCTTAAAGTTTATGCATGTTGTAGAATGTGTTAGAATTTCCTTCCTTTTTAATAATAATACTGAATACTGAATAATACTCCATTGCATATATATACAACATTTTGTTTATCCATTCACCCATCAGTGGACAATTGAGTTGCTTCCACCTTTTTGCTATTGTGAATAATGCTGCTATGAACATGGGTGTACAAATATTTCTTTGAGACCTTGCTTTCAATTTTGGGGGGTATATACCTAGAAGTGTAACTGTTGGATCATATGGTAATTTTATTTTTAATTTCTTCAGGAACTTCCATACCGCTTTCCATAGCAGTTGCACTATTTTACATTTTCACCAACAGTGCACAAGGGTTCCAATTTCTTCACAACCTCACCAACACTTGTTATTTTCTGTGTTCTTTTTTTTTTTTTAAATAGTAACCATCCTAGTGGGTGTGAGGTGATATCTCATTACAGTTTTGATTTGCATTTCCTTAATAATTAATGATGTCGAATATCTTTTCATGCTTGCTGTCCATTTGTATATCTTCCTTAGAGAAATGTCAATAGCTCAATTCTTTTTATCACTGGATAATATTCCATTGTATTGATGTACTACATACAGTTTATTTATCCATTCATATATTAAAGGACATCTTGCTTTCAAGTTTTGGCAATTATGAATAATGCCTCCATAACAATTGTGGGCAAGTTTTGCATGGACATAAGTTTTCAACTCATTTTGGTAAATTTCAAGGAGCATGACTGCTGAATCATATGGTGAGAGTATGTTTAGTTTTACCCTATCTTCCAAAGTGCCTGTACCATTTTGCATTCCTACCAGCAATGAATGAGAGTTCTTGTGGCTCTACATTCTTGTCAGCGTTTGATGTCAAAGAATAGAAGAGGGAGTAGATAGTAGACGAGATTATACCCACCCCTTCCTCTGGAGCTCCCGCTGCTGCACTGAAATATGTGTTTCTATGTCTCTCTTGAGGCCAATCTACTTATTCATCTTTGTATAGTAAGAAGTATAGGGTCTGGCAGAGAGTAGATGCTCACTATTTGTGGAATAAATAAGTAAAACAGTCACAAGTGATATTACCAGTTTCTGGAGAAATCTCTGTGGCAGTGATTCTTAACCTTGTCTGCACATTGGAACCACTAGGGAAACCGCAGGAAAATGCGGAAGGCTAGGTCTCACTCTCAGAATTTCTAATTTGGATGTTTTTGGGTAAGGCCTGGACATGAGGATTTTTTAAATATTGCCAGGTGACGGTAATACAGGTATCCCCCAATTTTTGAAAGTTCCCTTTCCACCACATCACTTTTATGAAAGACTATGTTAGTACCTGTTTTTGCTAAAAACAACAACAAAAATCCAGGGAGGATTTTCGCTTTTACAGAAAATGGTGAAAAGCTAAAATAACGTCAAGCATTTGTTTTGCAGGGAGCAGTTAAAGAGGCAGAGTTTCACCCCAAGCAGTGAGAGTGGCACCATCCAGCTCCCTCTCCGGGAACCGTACTCAGCATCTCAGCATCAAGCTGCCAGAGCTCTGAACTGTGCCTGTGAGTATCTGTGCGTTATCTTGATTTATTTAGTGCATCCGCATGCAAGATGCATCCTAAGGTAATTGCTTTTTTGATTTACACCATCTTGGCTTCAAATGGTTTCATAGGAACGTTCTACTTCCCGAAAGCAGGGGAAACCTGCTGTATACAGTCCAGACTAAGAACCACTCGAGGGAGCGTAAGAATCACTTGGAGGGCTTGTTAAAACACAGATTGCTGGGCTTCACCCCCAGAGTGTCTGATTCAGTAGGTTTAGGGCCCAGGAATTTGCATTTTTAACCAGCTCCCAGGTGATGCTGATGTTGCTGGCCCAGAATAGAATAGACTAGAGAGAGAGATCTCATTCAGCTGTGAACAACCCACTCTTCCTTTCTCTTATTAACTTCATAATTGTCCCCAGGGATGGACTTATGAGTAGTGTACTCTTACTAGATATTTTAAATATTTTAATATATACCCTTATACTTCCCCCAAAAGAATTTGCAGTGGTAGTATGATTTGAAGAGAAAGCGAAAAAGTTCTCTGGTAATTTACTAATTCATTTTTTTGGCTATTAAAAGCTTATCAAGGCCTTTATCACAAATATTACATATAATGCAGATTTCCTCCTTGGAGGAAATAGAACCCTGGGCTCAGCGGGGAGAAAGAAGATACTGAAGGCAGACTAGGATGGGGACATGCAAAAGTACTGACTTAATATCCACCGGGAACTGCCTGGGTTTTGACCCTCAGGTTTTGATTCCTGACAGCCCAGGAATCCTGTCTTCAGTCACTGGCTGTTCTGTTCCTTATCTCCACTTGTCCCCACCCCAGCATGAATCATACCCTAACCTCCCAGACTGACTAAGTACTGCAACCTCTTCTGTTCTCCTGTTCAAGTTCCTCTTTGATCAACACTTTTTGCCTCTCTGGGTTTCAGCCGTGTCATCTGTCAAGTGGGGAAAGGAGGATGAGGGAACAAGCGAAGAGGCCAACTTGGATATTTGGTCACTGTGATTTCTACACTAATTCCCTAGCTTTGGGGCAGAGTAGCACAAAGGCTGGCAAACCTCAGCTTCGCTCTGGAATACCCAGCCTCAGAAAGAGACTGAAGGGAAGTGAGTTGGCTCTTCCTTATTCGCCTTATGGGGTCAACCCGGTGTAGAGAAAAGAGACCTGGACTGAGAATTAGGCGTCCTAGGTATCACCTGAAAACAAACCAACAAACAAAAAAAAAACGCACAACCTAAAAGTTGAGTGTTTTATTCTGGGACCTTACAGAGGACTATAGCCTGGGAGACAGCTTCTCAGATAGCTCTGAGGACTGTTCCAAAAAGGTAAGAAAGGAACCAGCTTATGTAGGAGTTTTGCTGAAAACATGTAGTCAAATATCAAAAGATTGCTGCTAGTCACAAAAAAACAGACTTCTCAAGTTAATGACTTCAGTGCTTTTCTATGTATGGAAAGGTGCAAGAGTCTGGGCTCATTGAAATTATTCCTTTGAAAGGCATCTTAACAATCTAGGGCTAGTATCCTGTTTTTCTCCATCCTGACTTCCCCTCAGGGTGCACCGTCAGGGGCGGCTACAGTGGCTGGTGGCTTGATGGTGTGGTCCCAGTTCTACTTTCCACCTTCTATGAGATTTGGGGCAGTCATTTCACCTTTATGGGCCTTCTTGTTCCCTCCTTTGTTAAATAGAGTTAGCTACGGCATGGGCGTGTTTGGAGGATCAAATGAGAGATTGGAAGTGAAAGCACATGGTGCTTATCAAATTATATATTTTATATTGGGGCCCAGGAGCCCACTGTCCTTCCAGAATATTGTAACTGAGAAGGGGCACCACAGTACTTGTATCTTCACCCCATTCTATAAACATCGTCAAACATGGTAGAACATACCCAAATAAACCAGAATGCATTTGTGCTCATAAAGAAAGATATGGCAGAAGCTCAGTTGGAAATCCAATCCAGGTTGGTTCCAGAAACACACATTTTATACCAAATTTTGCATCCGTGATTCCCCTACTCCTCATACACATCCCACCTTTCAGCTCAGTCCCTGGGCTATATTCTTTTTCTCTAGCTCATAATCCCCAAACTCAAGGGAAAATATCCTTGCTGGGCTCTGACTCTCAAAAGGAAGAGAGAAGATTGCCAGTGGCGTAGAAAGGACAATGCTGCTAGCCCCTGAACAGACCCCGGCACCTTCTAAAGGAGAAACCTCTTGTAAGCTGTGCTGTTCCATGAGCAGTGGGCCTTGGCCAAACCAGAACTGAGGAACTCTCCTCCCTTCATTGAACATTTAGAACTGTATTTTAGGTTGTTTTGTTGGTTTTATAATAAGTATGCATGACTTTAGTAAGCAGAGGAACCAAGGATTTTTATTTAACTATAAAAATACTTTATTATTGGTAGAACATTGGTCAGAATTGTTACTGTATTCTGTTTTTGTTGATTGTTTTGAAGTATACATATATAATAGGGACAATATTTTGAGAGTACTAAACCAATGTTATTTTCATCCTCTGTAACTCATAGATCCTAGAGTTACTGAGGCTCCCATATCAACCCAGACCAGAATAGAGAAGATACTCCTTTAGCTGTTATCCATGAGGCCTGGTGTCCCACAGGATAGGAGGCTATGGTGAGGATTGTTCATTCTGAAGATGGACATGTGTGGGAAAGGAGAGACAGTAGATCCAGAGGGAGATAGAGATGGTCAAATGCCAATGCCGGGGTTCTAGGCCCTCCTTCCTGGCTGAACCTCAAGGTCAGGAGACTGTAGAGACATCTGGCTGGGCATCGGGGAGCCCAGGTTAATTGGATTTGGTGACTCCATTCTCAGGGCATGATCTGGAGAGGCTGCAGGCCTCTAGGAGCCCAGACTTTAGCTTCTCTATATCCAACCTGGAAAGAATGATGGTGTGGTCTCAGAGAAGGCAGGAGAGCAGAGGCACTTCTCTATAGCCTGTGTGTGGCATATAGCGTATCTAGGAATTCCCAACTGCCTTAGTAAGGTAACACAAAGGGGCTTAGGCCTGATGGAATAGCCAATCTGGAGTCAGGATGAAAAAAACGCCAGTATGTAGATGCTTTTTAAAATCAGAAGGAGTGTGTCTGAGAACTCAGGCTCCAGGTATGTGTGCCAGTGAGAAACAAAAGATTGGATGAGGCCAGTCCAGAGGCCAGGCTAGGAAGCAGGAAACATGTGGATCTGAGTCCTCCTCTCTCCTGGTGCTGTGAGGTCATATAAGCTCCCACTTACCCCAAATGTCTTTTAAAAAGGAGTGGGAGAGGAAATGGAGAGAACTGAGCATTTTTGCAAACTCTGGATCATTCAAAAGAGATTATTTAAATGGAACAAATGGAGATACGGATGATTTGAAACTTTTCCACCTCTCACTACTCATGGGTTGGGAATTTGAGGGGGAAATTAGATCAGTTATGGAAAGATAAAGAAGTTTTATTTCCTTTGTACAACTGAGTAGTGCAATGTGTAAAACTCCAGTGCTGCTCCACATATGTGCTGTTAGATGATATCAATTGTTTACCCCTTGGTTTTGCGTGCTTTCTTGATTTGCACAATATTTAGTCCTAGAGTCCTTGAAAAACAATCTACACACACGTAGTAACATCATAGCCCAGTTACTGCCGTGACCACAGCCCTGATTCTGAGTCACCAGACTCCACACCTTGTCTGAGGTCACTCTGGGTTCTAAAGGCACCTGGAACACTTCTGTGAGCTATCATTCAAATATTTTGCCTACTTTCATCATCCCAGCTTTATATCCTTCTAGAAGAAATGCCCAAGAATTGTGTTATAGTCCCCAATTTTAAAAAGTAGTTTTCAGAGTGTTTTATTTGTGTTATGTCATATTGTTCCAACAACTCTGTGAGTCAGATGGAAGAAATGGTAGTAGTTCCATTTTACAGTAAAAAAATCAATTCCCAGAAGCTTAAGTGTTATCAGTCAGGGCCCAGTCATGAAAACAGAAAGCATATTAGGTCCTTCAAGAGAGAGAATTCATTATAGGGGATTGGTTGCAGGCATTTGTGTACTCAAACTGTTCACACCAGCTTGTGAAATTCAGCGATGCCATCTTGATAGTTGAAAATTATACATGGTGAATGATCTATATTACAAAAATCGTATATATTACAAATCAGGTTTCTTTTTGTTTTTGTTTTCCGGAGAGCTGGTTATTAAATATTTACCAGCACATCACTGGTTATAGGTATTGGAGGACTGGGAAAAAAGGGAACATTGACGTAACAGAGATAGTAACTGGAGGAAGCAGTTACCATCCCAGGACCAGAAAACGAAGGAAAGAGGTTGGGTTACGAAAACCTAGGAGGTCAGAGGAGGGCCCCCCAGAGCCTGGGCTCAGACTGCAGAGGGGTGGCTGCCCCCCTGGTGCTGATACACCTGAGGGGCACAATGATACTGCATAGGGGTGCTGAAGGAGCATGGAGGCCACAACCTACCACTGATGCTGGGGTGAATCTGATAGGGATAGCAAGCCAGCAGAAAGGAGTGTGTCCTTCCTCCTCCTCCTGCCTTGAGTCTCCCTCAAGTGCCCCTATTGGCAGAGCTTAACAGAGAGCAGCGGCAAAGGAGAAATGTGGTTTGCAGAATCCCTAGCCGCAGTGTTTAAAGCCACATACAGAAGATGGGTGGGGGTGAGAGACAATAGCTTAAAAACTAGCACATTAAGGGACTTGCCAAAGGTCACATAGTGTCATCTACCTTGTTCCCTTGATATTTCAGGGCCTAGGCAAGTCCCTGGTATATCATATGCACTCAGTAAACAATTGTGGAAGGAAGGAAAGAAGGCAGGCCAGAATGGCCCAGCACACAAAGGCGAGAAGAGTCCAAAATATCCTTGGTCTCCACTCCCCCACCCCCAGTGTAAGCACAGTCACAGCATGGAGTATGTCTTTATACTTGACCCGGTTGTCTCCCAGTGCTGCTGTGGGAGCTGCCTAAGGAGGTACTACAGCCTGGTGCTTTGGAGAAAT